CCTTTGTACCAGGGGCCAGCTGAGATTCAGCAGGGTCTGTGTAGCCACTTGTCCACTCCGCAGTGATGGAAGGCCTTGGTGGGTGCAGTAGGGAAGCTCCCCTACATGCTTTGTAGCTTCAGAGCTAAAGCACTGGGAGCTGTATGTATTACTGGGGAGGCAGGTGTACATGCAAGTGTAAAACGTCAGCTCCAAAAAAGGAAATTATCCTTGAGCTCCGAGGGGCCACGAGGACTCTAAGTCATGCTCATGGGGCATTTCAGGGAAAACAATTTAAAATCTCTCAAGTCACTCTTCAGAGTCAGCTCAGTGGAATCTGTATGTAGACCATTGCTCAGCATTGAAACAATTTCTTTACAGTAACAGGTAACTTAAAATACACTTTACACAAGCTCAGTTTGTGCTCATTAGAGTCCTTAGTTATGTGACAGAGGGGACACTGAGCTCTAGGAAGCATGTTCTTCCAGTTATGCTTTTTGTGTACTCCGAGACAGATCAGGAGATAGCCAAAGCCTCCAAACTCAAAAGCAGAAATCTTGTACATCCCAGGACAGGCACAAATGACTTGCAATTACAACAAGGCGGTAAGAAGAATTTGTTTTCAGCATAGAGGCACACTGCTATTCAATCTGAATCATTACTCGCTAACTTGTCGCAATTTAGGCTGGTGCAGGATCTGTCCTTTAAATAAGTTTCCAGAATACCTGACAGATGAAACAAGATGTCTGCCCTCTTCAGCCTCTCTTCCTGTGAGTCAACAACGTCACAGAATATACAGAAGCACTTGTTTAGGCTACTGACCATTTAAGACAGTTATGAGCTGAAACAAAAGAGGGCATGAACAAAATTATGCCAGTTGTTTAAATGGTCCTTTAGGTGTCGCCAGTTAAATTTCATCAAGAATATAGTGCAAAAAAACAGTCAAAAGGCTGGATTTTTTTTTCCCAAGCCAGAGATGGTAGTTGCTTGCTTCAAACCACTTCCAGGGTAGCATGGAATAGTTGACGTAGTTAACTTGATTTTGACATCATGTAGGAAACACCTGGAGTCCATCAGCACTCAGGTCTGTGAGACTGCCACAGTCTTGCAATTGGATCCAGCACGAGTGATGAGCTGGCAGGTTCTTAGTGTTGTTTACTGTGGCTTCCAGACACCTTTTTTGACATCAACAGCTGTCATCTCTAAGAAATCTTAAGTATCAGGAAGAGCTCTAACTCAAAATCAAGCAAATTAAGTTCAGTACAAACCAAGAATTTAATAACATCCTATTTTTTTTTTTTTCTTTTCAACTTCCTCAACATTCCAAACTGGGACATCCTTAGACCATTATTAATAATGAAGGCAACATTTCATGTTCTGCTTTATACATAAACGCAAATCTCAAATATCAAATAATCTGGAATGAAATGGAACAAATTAGCCTGAAAAGAATTAGCAGGGAAGTTCCTATTATTTGTCATCATAGAAAATACATGATTGGGCAGCTACCTTGTTTGAGTTGATCTTCACATCTGTGTAGCTTTTAATTTATAAGAGTTCTTCCTGTGGGCTCTGAGGAGTTACATCTCTTTTTTTTAACCCCTATTACTTCTATCCCTAAATGGATAATGATGGCTTGGTGGAGGAAGAGCAGTATTACCTCATTTAAAGGTGTGAGTGAAGGCTTTCTACAAGTTTTAAGCTGTTTGGGACTCTTTAGCTAATTGTGAATTTATTTTTTCCAAAGAGTAGAACTGGTCTGAAATCCAGGTTCTGAGCCCCAGCAGTTGAGGGGTGTGTCTGCCACCCCCCTCCTTTTTCTCCCATCTAATAGGGGAGATGAGCAGAAGCCGGTTAGGGAGCAGCTACATGCACAACGTGAGCCAGTGGAAGAGGCCCGGGGCTGGAGGGGCAGGGACTCCCAAGCAGTCCAAGCAACAACATCTTTGGTGGATTAGAGGACACATCTGTGTCGTGCAAAGCGTCGTGGAGGCCTGTAGGGTGGGGGACATGATGGGCTTACGTTTGTGTGTGACATTCGTGCTCTCTCAGGACAGTTCAGAAACGGGCTTCTAGGAGAAGTAAACTATCCACATGTCTACGTCCTCATGTTCACACCTGCAACCTGCTGTCTCTGGAATCACGTCCTCCTCCTTTTGTTTGGATTGTAAATGTCATGATAAATGTTTTATCTTTCATACTGTTAAACTGAGCTTTGTAGCTAAGTGCAGCTTGTAGCTTATCTGTTACAAATAGAGTTCATCACACCCACAGCTGGAGATACCTGGGGTTACTCAGTGGCCTGTACTAGAAGTCAGATCTTGTCTTTCCACAGGCAAGAAAACCCACTTTTCGAAAGCCCCAACAGGCCCAACACTTGATGAGGCAGGACAGGAAAGGCTGGTGCCTTGTGAGCCTGTTGTGCAGTGGTGCAGTTAGGCAGGGAGGGTGTAATGCCACGCTCTGGGGGGCCTGTGCCCGGCGGCAGGTTGCTTCCAGCCCCGCGGATCCAAGCTGCTCCCCGGCTTACGCGCCCCCCAGGAAATCCAGGGTGCCTTCCCTGCCCGTATTGGGTCTGCTCCCGCAGTAGGCAGCAAACAACTTGCTTGTATCTGCCCCGATACTGTTGACTGGCAAGTTTAACAAGATTTATCCTCCCTGTGTACCTTGTCTAAAGGTGCTGCCTTTAATCCAGCTACTGAGGTGGTGATGGTTCGGGTACTGGAAAACCACAGGGTCTGCGCTTTCCTGGGCCTTGCCCAGGCCCCGAGTGTATGCCTGCCTTATCAGAGAAATCATTCTCTGGGGGGAAAGTGTCAAACTATTTACTGCTACCTGCTGATTTGTTCCATGTCTCTTGCAGCGTGAATGAGAACTCACGATCCAGCTTTCCAAGTCCACAAAATTACTTTACCTTAAGCTTGGGAATTACCCAGCTTTCTATACCTCAGTCTCTTTATTTTCCATAGGTTTCTCAGATGATTTATTCAAAATATGTTAAGTAACTTTCTTAAATGCATTTTCAGCATTTTATGATGAAAAAAAAAAGGCTTGAAGTGCTGATCCTCAGACTGCAAATGGAGTGTCTTCATTTTGCTGCAGCATCACTCAGGAGTATGAAAGGTGTTGCTAGCAGAGAGGGTTTGGACTCTATACAAATCTTTATCAAGAAGTGGCTTTAATTAAAAAAAAACAAAATGAGAAGTGTGTTTTTTTCCTTTGAAGATGCTGGAGCTCTCTAGCATTTCACAGGTTAATATACAGGCTGATGCTTCAAATATTAAGGTGAAAGCTGCCCATTAATGACTTGTAATGAGTATTTTATCGGAAACAGAATAAAAAGTGTGAGGAAAATTAGTTGTAAAAATGACATCATTAACCAATCATGAAGAATAGCATTTATTAATATGACCTGGTAAATGTATCACATGCCACCTGACACCATTTAGACCCCTTCTGAGATTTTACACAGCTTTAGTAAAGTCACTAACAGCATGTTCACAGTGACCCTCTCAACCTACATAGAAACATTTATTTATACATTTTATGAGAGCAGTAAAATATCCTCATCTTTGAACTTGCTCTCAAGAATGAAGTTGTATTTCCACAGACACAAGTCTTCCCACTCTAAAATCGGAGTTTGGAAAGCAGCTCTGTGTCCTGACGGTGAAGGTCTCGGTCTGATTGCCGAGTGTAGGCTGGTGGAAACGTTTGCTCTTGCAGATCCCACTCTTCCACAGGACTCCAATGATGTAGCAAGGAAAACCTGCCTCAAGTGTACTCAGTGCAGTCTTCCTGTAGTTTTTAAGGGTGTCAGGCCCCAGGGTGCCTTGGTTTTAGCAGTAATACTGTAAGAACTCTTTTGACAAGGCCCATCTTTTCATTTTGGAGAATGTAACGAAAATTGAAAGCAAGCTATATGATTACTTCTGTGACTTTTGGTTCAAAAGGCATTAATTCCAAACGTAAAATCCCCCATTAATAGTTCTCAAGAATATCCTTTTACCTTTTTTAATATACCTACTGCAAACTGATTAAAATCTCCAAAGTAAAATTTAAGTGAAGTCTTTTATGTTCTTCAGCACACTTATCACAACTCACAGCCCAGAGCAGCATCACCAGAAGCTGCTAACCTCTGCTGTGCTGCATCAAGCTGTGCATGCAAAGAGGCCGCGGTCTGTAGGGGCTGCGCCTGGGGACCCTGGGTGTCCCCTCCAGAACGCCCCTCAAACAGAAATTTGAACTGTTGGTCAGTTTCCTTAGTTCCTATACACGCCAGTCTGCTGCTCCCAGAACAGTATGTTCAGTGCATGAGAGCTGAAGTGGAACAAGAAGAATTCATAGCTGAGTTTTTCCTCTCATCCTAATAAAAGCTGGGTATATTGAAGGAAGTGACCGTGGGTATCCTGCATCCGCTGTATTACCTGTGCTACTGAAGTGTTGCATGGAAGTGCTACAATCCCAACTGGAGCTGTGACTGAGAAAAACACAGCTAGAACTTTAGTTTGGATTGGGACTCGAGTCAGATTTTCTTCATTCTGAAGTACAGATAATGTCTAAATAATTGAGTTTCTGACAAGAAGACAAACATCTGTTCTTGTTTTTCAAACTTGCAGCAGATGCAGAAAGATGAGTTGATATGTGGGTGCAAAATTACTCTTGTATAACTGAAGAAAGTTGCCTATATGTAACCAGAAAGTACTGAAGTGACATGATAACATATGAACGTCTAAATAAAAAATACCTTGTTCATTTAGTAAAAAAGTCCAGAGAAAATGTGATATCAGTGAAACTTGTCTTAAAAGACCAATAAAAATATGCTGCTTAAATTAACTATCTTATCAGAATTGTTTCTAAGAGAAAACAAGCATGACTGTTCTAATTATGCTTAGGGATAAACACTAGGCTTCAGAGAGAGAGAGAGAGAGAGAGATTGCTTCCTCAACCTTTGTCCTGTTTAAGCTTAATTATATCAGGGGTTTTTTTGATGGTAACGTATGTTGTGTGCTGATGAGTGTCTTCTAATCAGTCTTTTTAGTTTTCCTGTAGTGCAGAATTGTGGCTGTGACCCAAATATTGAGAATGAGCATGGTTATGAAACGGATGAGAACTAAAAGGGAAAAAAAAATCTTGTAAGCATAAATCCAAAAGGCTCAGCTGCTGTTATTCTCAGAAGACACAATGTTTTGTAAACCTTCACTGGTATACAAACAGGCTGGTTCCCATTCTGCAACTCTATTCAGTCAATTAGTTTAAATTACCATACTCAGGAACTCAGAAACTCTCAAGGTAAATGTAGCAAAGAAAAGCATTTAGCACTTGCAAGTGATATCTGTGAATAATATGCTACAGTACCTTTAATTCTTTTGTGACAAAACCACGAGAACAGTACAAAGTTGAGTAGCCTCATATTTATATTTACACCCAAAATTAAACTTGGAAGCGGCAGCTCATGTGCCCTTTATAGTTATGTGTTGTTTATAAAAAAAAAAAAAGGATTATTCTCTACTGCCATCTGTTAAGTTTAAAATTCAGGGAGACAGGAAATACTTTTATCTGTCAGATTTTAATGAGAGAAAATCTGACAACTGAGAAAAAAAAAATGGTTTTTCAGTATCCGGATTAACTTCCAGATTTTTTTTTAAAACCCAAAATAAGCATAGTGTCTGTATCTATGAGAAGTATAGGTATATCTGTCTGGTGAATGACAGTTTCATGTATGTGTATGAAACCAAGATGTCAAAATGTTCAGTGTTGGAAGTTAACTGGACACATTATCCATTAGAGCAGCACGGTATCAGTGTTTGCTGCCATCGCCTCCATGTTCCAAAGTGTACTGTGCTGTACTTTGAAAAGCAGCTTTAACCAGGGCCAGCTCTACTTTCAAGAGCCAGCTTTTTACTTGGATGGTGTTTTTCTCCCTTCCTTCCTCCCCTCAATATACCTATCTTGCTTCTCATCAGCCTAAGTGAGTAACTGGGGGTGAACTGGACACAATAACTGACCCAGACTAAATTTCTGCGTATGCATTATGCCAGTTTTTTTGGTGCTCCCATTAACTGCATGACCCCAAAACTCTTATTCTGGTGAAGAGAAAGCAGCAAGCACAGGAGTGAAAATGAGTGCTTGAAAAGGGGACTTCCAGTGAAAGAGCCTCTTGAACTGCTTGTAAAACTAGAGCCTTATTGTGCTGCAGAGGACTGCTTAAAAGAAAATAAATCCATTCATATGATGTTTCTGCTGAAATGCCAGTTTTGGACTAGAACAAGGAACCACCAAATAAAGTACAATGTGATTTTGTTACTGCTCTTACATCCACCAAGTATTCATTTTGAGCTATTTACTGACAAATCTGCTGCACTCCTCAGCTCCTTCAGCTTTGTCAGAATGGTTAAGCTTTTAAATAAAATTTGCTTTATAATGAAATCAGCTTCAAATTATATATTTTAAGCCATTTTTTGGTGAGTTCCTTACTAGCCTATCATTTTATTTTCAGCCTGCCATAAACTTTCTGAATGTTGTGCCTAAAACAATTCATTACTAAGCTCAACTTTAGTTTTCTAGAAAAATTTTTAAAGCACAAACCTCACAATGAGGAAACACTATTTGAAAAGCTCTCACTCCATTATTACAGAACTTTAAGTTGTATTTTACTAAATGTATGTATTTAAGTATCAAATTTTATAATGCTTTATTCTGCCATTTTCATAATTGTTAATTTTGTAGTGCTTTTGCTTTTTGAACAAAATAATGGCTTTTGGACCACTTGTCACAATGTGACAAGCACAAGCAGTTTTTTTTTGTTTCCTCCAGGTTATTTGACCAATTTGTAATCCTGTGCTGATTTTAGCAGTAACCCCTTCCTTCACTGTGCTAACTCACCAGGTTCATGGCTTGTTCTTCTGGGAGCAGGTAATTGCTTTTGCAAAACATCTGAAAGCTGCCATGGCAGCTGTTATCTTGGAAAGGTTCCATACTCACCTGCGAGGTCATTCGTAGTCAGTACAGTTGTAACTATTCTTGCTGTAAATTGAATGAATTCTGATTAGTGGACTAGATACATCATGTTTATACCTTCAAAAATTGATGCAATACCCATTCTTCAACAGAGTATTATCTTGCATGAGAATATACGTTGTATAGACTTCCCACTTTCAGTGCATCGACTCTTCACTATTTTAACTTCAGACATCAAGCTCTGAAAGCTGAGTGACACTGTATTAAGGGTATTGTTTAATGAGAAAATAACAGGTATCATTTTTATACCTGTTTATCTCACTAGATTGAATGTGGTCAGAGTTTACTGCTTCTCTTTCTGTTCAGCCCTCTTCTTCAGTAGTTGATACCGAGCTAGACCCACAGTGGAGTTAGCATGACTTAACCATTGTGAATGTTCACACGCATGCCTTCAGGCTTCTGCAAGGATGAGGCACTCAGCTTTCCTTCCCACAGCAAATCCAAACCTCCATTATTTCATATTTGCAGCAGACTAAGACCATTTACAAAATTTAATGCTGCTCAGAAAACATACCACAACTTCTGATTACCGACTTAAAAACATTTGTTTCAGGGGAAATAGATCCAGCATCACTATGTTTTACAGTAAGGATATTTTAAACAAGTTTTGTGACTTTGACAAAGACACTTCTGACAAATAGCTGTAAAAGAACTGTTCATGCAGAGCAGTAGGTAATTAACACATACACTGTGCAAATCACTGTTCTTGGTACGTTCTTAAATTCTCATCTGTTGAGAAATGCATTTACATGTAGTCACAGGGTTAAAAGTATTTAGCATTAAGTGTGTATTTATTTGTAGGTGACTCTTCAGAATCAGTGTTGTCTGACCAAAAGTTTAGCACCCTCTCATGTTGGATCACTAGTGAACTTATTAAATCCTAGAACATTGAAATCTTTTCTTCATAAAGATACTCTTTCAGTGATTTCAAATGTATGTTACCTTGACCATATTTCTATGTATTCTACAGTCACAGTGTAATTGTGACTGAGCTGGTGTCAGTCATAAAACTGGATTTCAAGGAGCGTGTGGCATCTGAGTCTCAGAAGTCAGCACAAAGGGAAACTACATGAGATGTGTACCTACTCTGATTGAGTAAAAGCCTAGTGAAAGAGGTGTTAGCAGGAGATACGGCTTTGAAGAAAGGAAGAAAACTCAGTGCTCCACACCAAGTTGCCCGTAGCTTACTTGCACAGGTATAGGCAGACATGCTCCAGGTCAAGGCGCTCACTTGTCCCGAATCTTTGGTCTGCCAGAGGCACCGCAGCTGAGCCAGCTTACTGGCTGCACTGATGAACGTGCACAAATTCTGAAAAGCAGGCAAAAGAGAAAGAACCTCTGCCTCCGTCTGACAGCTGTTAGTATGTAACTTACTAAAAACGAGGACTAAGCTTTTCATTTACAATAAAAAGAAAACCAGGCTTTTTCACTGTTCCAATCCAAGAGTTTCAGCTTCTTACTAAGGAACTGTGAAGCAAAAAAATTGAAGTTACCAGAAGCAAGGGACTGATTTCTGAGGTACTGCCCAGAAAGAAGCTCAAAGAGCGCAATTCCTACTGCTGCTGGCAAATGCTTGACAGAGACAAATAAAATATGAAGCAAAGACATAAAAAAGCCTCTCAACCTGCTGCAGAAAACTGTTTATGAAAGCTAGCTAAAATGGGACTTATCGAGTCTAAACAGCAAGGTTGATTCAGACCATCTGTTACCATTATGTCTGGCAAACTAAACCATCAAAGAATGAGAAAACTGACAAGAATGTGTGGAAAATGAGTCCAATTGGTGGGAAAAAAATAATGAAGGGAATGGACCATTCATTCTGTCATGCTTTGAAGGGGGATTTTGCAAAGGCAGCGAGTAGAGGGGACCTCCATGTTGGTCTCTGTGCCAGGCCCACACTTCCCTCACAAGCTGGGATCAGTGTTAGGCTTAGAAGCTTTCATCCCCATTTGTACCATCTTTTGCATTAGCAACTCCAGTTCACCTCAACTGAATTTCAACTTTCTCTCTCCTGATAAAAAGGGCAAACACCATCTTTAACCTCTGCAGGGTATTATCCGATGTTATTTTTCCTGGAAAATTCTAGGACTAAAGAGAAAAAAGATCTTGTGAAGTATTTAGTATTCTCTAGCTCAAATGCTTTGACTGATGCCCTGTTATTTCCTCTCATGTTACAGGCTTACGAACAGAAATTATGACATTAGGACTAAGGAAGCAATCTTTTTTTCAGCATCTTAAACCTTTGCTAGTTTTCATCAAGGCATCACCAATAACAACTTCACCTCAGAACACTTTTTTTTTCGTCTCATAGAGTATTGCCAGTGCTATGTTTTCCAGCTGCTCACAGAAGTGAGAACCAGCTTTATTTGAAAACTGGTTAGTTGTTCTAAAAGTTAAATGATGAGTTCTTTGAAGGAAAATTATAAGGAAAGATTTCACTGATAAAGGCTTCCAGAAAAAAAAATAATTTCGTACACAGACCTAATTTCAAATAAGCGTGCAGCACTTACCATGGCCAGGTCTATCATCCACTTCCGCAGTGCTAGCATGTACCAGCCCCCCCCAAACCTAACGTTATGTTAAGTTTAGCACTGAAAATTTTAGGATACCAAAGCTCTCAAAACTGCCTGGGGAATTACATTATTTTAAACATCTGGAAATAATCTTACTGAAGCCTTGTAACAGACTATACAATCTAGATAACACATATTAACCACTGGTTGAAACATGAAGTATTCCTAGCTGTTATACTTTGGTCAAACAGTGCAAGGAGTTGCTCAAGACCTGCTCCAAAGCACAAGACATGACATTTAAGCCTAAGTTCTATTTTTAAAAAAAACAAATGCGTCTGAGTTCATCATAGCACGTACAACCCACAGGGGTTGTTGGGAATCAGATTCCTAGGAATCGGAAAAAAGGACTTATTCTTTCCACTCTGCGTGTCTAACAAGGGTGTAAACTAAGAATTGGCCTTACTCCTCATCAGTTGTGGGCCTTCTAAAGCACATAGAAATATAGAAAGCTTTCTTCCTGTAGAGATTTTACTGTGGTCCCAGAAATGCATGGTGAGGGGTGGCTGGAAATGACTTGCAATGGTAGCACAAAACAAATGATGACATAGCTGCTATGCAAAGAACGATCAAACAAGCTACATAAACCAAAATTCCCAGATCCCAAAGGATACGTGACTGCATAGAACAAAGCTCGTCTCATGTTTCCACTGAAATGCAGAATAAACAAAAGGAGGATGACATCTGAAATAAATAAAAGATTGCTTGTCAGAGAAGGGGCCCAAATACAATCCTAGACAGTTCCACAGGGCACCATGTCTTTGGAGAGTGTCTCTCAAATTTGATCAATGTCCAAAACACTGTGAGCTTCAAAATGAAGCTTTTCTTACAGTCTGGAGTGTTTATGTTTCTCTCCCACATGGAATCACTGGGTAAAGGATGAGATTACACTGCAACTCCACCATGTGTGTATAATCAGTTCTTTCTTCTCTACCTGACCACCTATTTTCATAAAATATATAAGAATCCAATTATATTTGAGATGTTCATTCCCTCTTTCCCCCCAGCTCCAGTCAGTGGTGCTTTGGAGTGCTGAACAAACCCTGTTTTATTTCCAAAACACAGCTTAAAAAAATTACCTTGTGCAATGATGATGGGATACTCCAGGTATGTCTGCAGAGGGTAATCATAATAGATCTGGTACCTCAGAAACACAAGGAAGCTGAACAGAAAGACACAAAGCAGTGTGACTGCATGAAGAGACAGGACTACTCCTTCACAACTCTTTTTTACTGTTGTTTTGGTTGTGCCAAAAGGCCCCAGATAGGTGTAGCTGTCAAACTGATCAAATGAATATCAAGACAAAACTCAAGCCTGATGATCTGTAGCCTATTTCTCTAACCCTCCAGCAGATTAAGATGTAGAGCTGCCCGCACTTTTTGTCAAGGTCTTTGTGTCACAGTGTGTAAGGCATAATTTCATTAATTACAACTGATGAGAAAGAAATTAAGTCTTCCAGATCTAAAAGATACCTTCTCTTTGCAATTGCCTTAGGACCTCTGGGACAACTCTCATTTCTTTATGTCCATAGCTCAGTCTACACATTAAGCAGGTTTTACAGGAATAGAAAACATCTTCCAAGCTGTCTAGACTACACTATTACAAGATTGCCCAGTGTAGCTGTACTGGTCAGACCAAGTCTGTTCTTAAATGCATCAAACACTGGCAGTTCTCCTTCCTGCCATACCACAACATAGCATCTTAAAGTAACTGAACTTTTACCATGTTTTCTTTACTTTCTTCAACTTCCATGCAAGCCCATGAGATTAGACTGAAATTTTAGGGCTACAGAGAAAACAGAAAGAGTCTTAGGGCACAGTTTTATATAAGTCAAAAATGGATGGTTTCCAGCATAGAAAGATGGCATAAGGAACTGGCTGCTTTCTAAGAAACTGGGTTTTACAGTATTCAGAATCTAAATATCTGAATTTTCTAGAAGTCTTCTTTCTTATAGAGTCAAATTAGACTCCTCACCATGAGCATCATGCTTCTGTGCCACTCCTCTGCCAGGCCAGTGCATGTTGACTCCACAGAACCATCCCAGTTTGCACCAGCAGCCCCAGAGCTCCCTGCAGCTGGACTCAAAGTCTTTAAAGGCTGCAATATAAATAGTCTACTAAATAAACAAACATTCCCAAGAAATGTTCCTAAAAAGCTTCGTTGCAAGCCTTTCGAAACAGTTTTGCCTGCAGCAGGCTCAGAATCTGCAGCAGTGTGGGTACTGTGGTTGTCACGCAGGTTCTGAGGAGATGTTCATGGCTTCTTGATGCTCATCTGAAACACCACTTAAAAAGCCCTGTCAGTGCACACCGACAGCCATGAATGATTTCAAAATGCTACCACCACTTTTCAGCTGGGGCTGCAGGGTAAGTTATCCCTGCTGGCATTTAGTTGGCTTACTCCGAGGTGTATGAAGTGTGAACAACAACAACAGGGGTTCAGGGCCATGGAGAAACGCAGGGAGCAAACGGCCACAGCGGAGACCAAGGGGTTCTGCACAGCTCCATGCAGAAAGGTCTCCATACACCTAAGGCTCAGCAGCTCCAGTCCGTCAACAGCTGAAGACAAGGAACAGGCACATCCAGGAACAACATGCCATTTTTGTGAGGTGATTTTTCTGAATAACAAGCCATTTTTAAGCTTGGTGTGGAGAGGTAGCAGCCATCTGGCTGGATGTTCTGGCCACCTCCATAGTGGGTTCAGCAAATGCTGGGCCCTTCAAAACATTTTCCCTCACATGCTTGTACCCACAGTTGTATGTACACACACATGCAGCTTCTCTATTTATTTTTCATTCCATACAATCCTCTTTAAGTAAGATTTAATAAGGGTTGCCCATGTAAGCTTATTAGAGACCAACAAATCTTTGAAGTTTGACACGGTTTGTAATTTTCTTAAAGAACGATTATGTTTTACTCGTTTGGGTGCGAGAAGCCTGTCTAACTGGTACAATTACCTGCACGACAGGGCATACAGACCATTTAATAACCTAACTACATGCCTTAAACCCAACAGCAGATGTTGATTCCAGCTACACGGGTGGCCCGGGTTGGTTCTGAGCAGTTAAAAAAAA